CGACGAGCTGTCGCGCGAGTGGGAGGAGCTGCTGTCGGACATCAGCGCGGCGCACGCGCAGTACGCGGACGGGGGCGCGGGCGGCGGCGCGGGCTGCGAGGCGGCGGACGAGGCGCGCGCGGACCGCAAGCGGCGCCACTCGGCGGCGCTGCGCTGCGCGGCGCAGTGCACGCACCCGCACGCTCGCTTCCTGCCGTGCTGCACGCTGGCGCTCGACCGCCCGCTCACGCGCTAGACCTCGCGTTCTGTCGGTAGTTCCCTTCCCCGATCCGTGCTGCACTCTGTATATATCCCCCGCCCCTGTTTCCTTCCAGCGTATTGTTTTATGTCAACAGTGAGAATCGCCAGCTTTTCATATTCGAAAACGACGTACCGTTATCGGTATCGAGATGATGTCATTTGTGGCTCGATTGCTCTTGCAAGTGGCATTAGAATGAAAAAGTTAGCAATAATAATAGGATTAATTAGCGAAGCCTTAAACGTTACTTTCTCCGAGTGTGTAGGGTTGTTGTGGTACAAAAGCGGAAGGCTAGAAGTGCTAACATATCTTATGATTGTAGATATTGACGGGAAGGAGGAGTTATATTGTAACGTTAATTTTAGTTCAATGTTTTCTTTGTAGAGATTTCATATTGATGTAGGAATGTTTGATGGAATGCTCTCGCTTCATTGTCGACTTTCGACGAAATTTGACTTCTATGCAAAAAGTGTTATGGAATTATGCATAAAATAATGGCCTTGAGGTGATCAGCAGCATTCTGCACGTTATATATTTATTTTTAAAATGTTTTGTTGGGAAATATACATATATTTTATTTGTTTTAGTTCAAAAATTGCGTATTAACGAAAAACGAGGCGATCGCATTCCACAGCAAACATGATAGGACGATTCTAATATAATTCTTACAATAATATCGTCCCGACTTGTTTAATAATTTGTTAATATAAAATATAAGTAGAACAGGTATTTTATTTTTGTTAGTATTTTTCGTTTACGTTTCCAAGCGATCTAAATTCATTCAAAATTTTATATCGTAAAATAAATTGTTCTGTTTTCTTTTGCAACATTTTTGAACGCGAACATTAATGTAAGGAGATGATTAGACGCATCTCCGGATGTCCAACAGTGGGTACGCCTTTCGGCCGTTGTTCGCGAAAGATGTACCCACCGTTGTATTGCAACTGTTTCCAAGCCGACATGTCGAGATGCGGCTTTGTGTCCGAGGTTCGAACGAGATCGGAGCGGACAGTTACGTTTTGTCCATGTTGATAAGTTTTACACGCGGCGATTTTATTGATTTGCCGTATTATATAACGTAGGGTGGCAGACGCGACGCGGCTAGTGTTCATTGTTGATGCAGTGTTGGCCCGCTGCGTTCTGCCGGATAGTGGTAATTCAAGGTGTTAGCAGTTTTGTATGAAGCTGGACTATGTTAGTGGGGGGCACCGGAGCCCCCTGGAGTGTCGTCGGATATGCGATGAACTAAGTGTCGTGCTCTTCTTTGATATATGCCTGGTCGCCGCTGATCACCGTTTGCGGACGCACGTTTTTCTACAGAAAACGAATGGTTAACTTTTTATAAGATGTATCGGCAGGCCTTGCGTTACAGATGGCGGCCCGTCGAACGGTGAGCGGCGGTGACCATCAATTGTAACATAATTTACAGCTCCATGTATGGATTGTAACAGTTCATATAGGCGTAACTGTTATTATAGTTCATGTAAAACATAAGAAGTGTATATGTTATATTTTCGTATATTTTCATTTTACAAGGGGTGCTCGGTGACGACGTGCTACCGTCGCGTCGCGTGTACAGCCAGTAGTCGGCCCCGCGCCCGCTGCGCCGACCTTTACTTGTTCTGTGCACGGCCCCCACAACTTATATTTATTTCATTTGAAAGCCTTGCCTAGTTACAATTTCATATAAAACTTTAATATTCGTGCATACTTTTCTATTTTATGTGTCGTGTTTTATATATTTATTTTTATGTAGTGTGATTTACTTCTGTTTGTAATAACTGAAAACGGAAAATGTAAAAAAAAATATCATTACAAAATTACATCAGGAAGGCTATCCTTGTATATATTTAGTATATTGTGAAATTAATGTATAGTCATTTTCAGTTCTTTTAAATGATGTATCATTATATGTTCGCTAATTCTTTTGTCAATTTCTTTATCTGAAATATTTGTTGTTATGTTCTGGCGGGTAGACACGTACATCAGTTTACGACTCTACAATGTTTCAGATATTGAAATGTTCATGTACTGTCTAAAGCTACGTTAATAGAGCGGTTGGGTATTTTTAAACTCATTCAACTAATTAATTCACATTCATTTTTTTCGTGTCACGTAATGTATTTCATTTTTTCTGTCATAAGTTCATATTATATTGTACTTATTCCATTAACGATATTCGCTAAAGGATACCTCGATAAAAAATGTATGAAAAAGTAAAAAAAAAGTATAGATTCAAGTTCGCATAAAATATTATGTTTGATTAGTTCTTAATCTAAATGTAATGTGCCTATGCACTTGATTGTCTAATTATCCAGAACAACAGTGGATGATTATTGTTTTCCAACGAGTGTTGAAGGAATGTTTCAATGCTTGTTGGAAAACAAAAGGAGCTAGCTACGGTATTTGGTAACGGGGACTTATTATAATCATTGACTAACCAGTCCTACGCTAGCTCCTTCAATACTCAATGAGATATGGATAAATCTATCGCGACCAAAATCATAACACCTGTCCGATATTCACTTGTCTGATAGATTTATCTATGTCCCATTTTACAACCGAGCCTTAGGAATCACTTGCTTCAACATTTATGAAGTTTATCATGTTATTCCAACGCTGAGCCAATGGTCGGCTGAGGCAAGTGCTCCTAAAGGTGGACTGGTCCCCGACCATCACAATACTTTTTATGAGCCACATGATCATTTGTAAGTGGCATAAGAACTTTGTCGTTAAAATAATAAGTAACTATTTGGTATTTCAACTTTTTTACTATCTGCAAGTAACCAATATTTGTTTGACACTGTATCTTTCTTATCGAGAGCAAACATGTTTTTTCTGTGTAAATGTAATTTGGACACGTAGCAAATCAGCACACTTGAAGAAAAATATAAAAAAAATATGTAGAAAAAAATCCAAAGTTTGTTGTAATGCTCTCTTCACAGAGACAAGTCGGCTTGTAACCGATAGCTAATAAGTGGCCTTGGTTACATGCATATTTGTTTACATTTCATATCAATTTATATCATTTTATTTTCTTTTTTGAAGTTTCGTAAAATCATTAGAAATTAAAAAAATATCTTATAGGCCGGGGTAGGAGCAGTACACAAGGGATTACACATCTTAATTTTTGGATCACTTAACTTAAATTGCACCGCAAATTGAGACCTGTAAAAACAAACTTCACGATTTTTCTCACGGATAATTAATATGAATTTTCGATATTTACAAACTATTACTTATTGCGAAAATTGGCACCTTTATTTTGCAGTTAAGTATATAGTTTAATAAACGATAACAATTATCTTACATAATAAAATTATGAACTCGGAATTAGATTGTACAAAATTCCTATTCGAAAATTGTTAATTCATTTAGAAGTGATTATCCCTGAAAATAGTTACCATTTTCATTAATACGTTAGGTTGTGCTCGCTACTCTGGTTCTTGCCACCTGTGGGAAGAAAATAAAAATAAACGATCGATCCACATTTTGTTTTTTATTTCTTACACCACCTTACCTTTAAATTTAGAAATACATCCATAGATTGGAGTCTTCTGTAAACATGTTACCGGAACCTCCAAGAAGTCTCGAGATGTAAGAATTAGAATAACAATAAAATAGTGGGCGAAGTTGTCGCTCCACTCAAAAAGCTAACTTGAGTACAGCTTCTCTGTCTTTTTCGCGCTCGCTGGCGAAAACGAGAAGGCGCTATACAAAAACCACGGTTTACACTTTCATCCATTGAAATGCACGCGGTGCTTCGTTGCGAGCGAGACGCCGGTTCAAAATAACAGTGAACCGTCCGGTCTTATCGAACTAAAATAATAGTAAACGGACGTTACAGTGATACGAACAGATTTCACGTGTGATTTTGTGTATTGGACGCTGTTAGTGTTTGAACTGTTGTAATCAAAATCTAGTATATTTTTTTGTTTTTCGGAGAAAGGTAAGAACTTTTATTTATCTTTCAAGTAAAGTTGAATGGCTTTGTTGAAGAGTTGTTCCAGGAGATTCTTATTATAATAATCTAATTTATAACACAAACTAAGATTGGGGTTTAAAGAATATTATTCCTGCCCTGCTCGATTATGAACCTTCTAAACAAGTAACCTAACAGGTAAGCACCTATTTAGGCCTTATCTGACTTCGCACATTGTTTGATTCCGCTAGCATTAATGGGTAAATAAATAACACAATAAATCTGTAATGGAACCGTTATACCTAAGTCGGCGATGACTATATTTTTTGCAGCATAGAAACAAGAAAGTCAGGTCATAAAACAGTATTAGGTACCGTCAGATTAAACAAGCTTACTGTAGATGTCCTCGAATCCCTTATATGGAATCCTGAACTGAAAATTGCAGCAGCCAATCGGCTTCTAGCTATAAAATTAGGTAGTAAAATAGGAATGACAAAATTGGGGACAATACACAGAACAATTTGTAATAGGTAAAATGAGTATAGGTAGGTACTTGGTCAAAGAACCTGATTTCTGTAGGTATTCAAGATGTTTACAGAAAGATTTCTTTAAAAATGTAATAAAAAGTACTAGGTAGTCCCTAATATTACAAGTATTCAGTAGCGACACTGAATACTTGACAACCCTTGATAAGTGACCTTTATCATCCACAGCACTGGTCCACAGGTACCTTGGTACTGTTCATACTTCAGTGTCAACCTAGTATTTTAGTTTAGCCAGTCTAGTGTTGGATAGTTTTAACTGACCATTGAAATATTCAGAACTTAATTAGTTATTTAATCTCTTACTCAACGGATGTTACAAAACCTTGTACAATATAATCATTTCATAGACAATTAAACAGAACATAAGTAATCGCTTTTAGTAATTAGTTACAACCTTCTAAGCTAAGGTTAGGAAAATAGTCCTTTTTATGAGGGGTGACAATCATCCAATGACTTCTCCCGCCTTGGGTTAGGCGAGTGGGAGTGCCAGACTTACTGACTAAAAACCACCCCGTTCCTACTCCTGCTCG